TCTAGCTTTTTTCTCTTCTTTCTTTGAATCTTTGAGCTTTTTGTTTTGTTTTGTTTGGTTTCTGTTTTTGTAATGGGGACGTCACTTTGGTTCTTATGCTTGTTTGTTGACTGGCTGTTCTGTTAAAAAAAGCAAAAAAAAAGCTTCCAAAGACATTTAGAGATCAAATTATAGCTCAAGCTATAACAGCCGTTGTTAAACCGATTTGGTGCAGTGTTGTTTGGACGATGTTTGTTTTAGCTGAAACGGTTTCGAGCTGGATTACCTTCCTGGACACAACTCTCACCATCTGCCTGGGTTCAGCAGCAGCTCCCTGGTGACTGGTTTAAAACAAACATCCTAAAGTTCCCAAACCTTTCAGRATTTGACCCACAAAATAACAGCAGCGTGTGTTTGCGCCTCCATGTTTGGTTTAAGAAATCAAAAACTGCAAATTATTAAGGGCGCTAATGACCACAATTAAGACCCAACTTTGGGAACCTTTGTCCTAAGTCAGGGCTATCCAACTGGTGGCCTGCGGGCCACATCTGGCCCACGGGTGATCAAAGTTCGGCCCACCAATTGGTTCATTCATCTCTTAAACCCAAACCCCCAGTTTTCTACGTTAATAAGTAAGTTATTTTAGTTAAACATAGACATGTTTGGGATCTACAGAAACATCAGAATCTTGGCTACAAGCTGGTAAAAAACATTTCTATGAACACTCAAGACAGTTAAAACTACAAGCAGTTGAAGATGAAACTATGAAAGTGAAAATAAAATTGGTTTAAAAATTTGGCATGTCACAGATGTCAAAATATTATTTGTGTCAAATTTGAGGCAAAATGTGTTCTTAGTCTTTTGATATTGTTTAACTAACACTACTATTATAGGGTTCTGAATGTTGTATTCATGATTAAATGCAGCAAAATAAACTATTTCAAAGGTAACAGATCAATGAAATACTTGGTTTATTTTAGGGGTGTCCCGATCCGATATTGATATCGGATATCGGTCCGATATCAGCCAAAAAACGAGTATCGGATTTTATCGGCCGGCATAAAAAATGTCCGATATAAGCGCTCCGATATTAGCAGTCCGTTCCAGCAGTTCACTGACTCCGCTCCAGTGTTTCTATCCAGCAGCGCTTGGATCCTGCATGTAGCGCTCACGTGATCATAACAACAGCAGCGCTAACAAGTTAGCAAGAATGTCGGCAGCAGAACTTTTTATTTTCATCAGAAACAGAGTTGAAACTAAGTGCAAAGTTGTCATGCACAAGTTTTCCGAGGGGAAACACAGAACCGTGAACGTTTTAAACCGGAGCGACAACTACTCTCCACCCTGGCAGCAGCTTTGCGGTTCGGCTCGGTTCGTTCAGCGTCGGTCCAGTGACCGCACACAGCCGGGCTGTTTCAGAACCTCCTCTCTGGTCCGGTCGGTGGTTTTAAGCTGGCAGAAGCGAGGACAGCACGCTTACAGTTTTGACATCCCGTGGATTAGCTCTTGATGGACAGAAGAAAGGAGAGCGCAGCTTTTGTTTTGGAATATGAGCGCGACATCACGAGAGCAGTGATAAAAACTGCTCCCTGCAGGAGCGAGAGGCTGATCTCCACATGATGCTCAGAAAATGCAGCAGTAAGGAAGGTAGATATCAATTTAAATAACTGACTAATTCTTACTATTTATTTTTTGCTCTTGTTATTAGAGTGATYTTTAATCTGTTTACACACTTGTTTGAGTGAAGATTAAGTGCAATGATCACGTTGTTTTGGTTACAGTCAGTAAAATTGGAGCTGTGGACTCTTTGAACAGACAATAATGTGGGGTTTTGTTTCGTCCCCACCTTCAGTTTTTCCCACCATAAAGCAGCACAAGGCTGACAGATGGTAAAAAAAATAACTGGAGTGATTTTGAATTATTTTACACTTTAAAAGTACATTTTYTTTTTATTATGTTATTTTTTCAGGGTATTGTAATTTATTTTATTTATTAAATTGTAGAATGTTTTTCAGTTTAAAATGTATGTCATCCATTGGTTAAAAATAAATGGGTCAGTTTTTCTCATATCTACTCTTTTTCACTGTTTGACTTGATCAAGACTTTTCTAAGATTTTACACTACAAAATAGGTAAAAGTGRGTYACTTGTACTYTTATGGTAACGGGTCAATATCGGTATCGGTCAATATCGGTATCGGACATTTCTCAAAGTTGTAATATCGGTATCGTATCGGAAGTGAAAAAGTGGTATCGGGACACCCCTAGTTTATTTACATAACGACTTTAATTGCTGGATGTTCGGACCCTGAGCTGTTGACCTGCAGTAACTGTGGCCCCCGGAGCAGTTTAGCTGAGTAGCCCTGTCCTAAGTGTTTACTCTCATGAAAAACTGCAAAGGCAAAATGATATCTGAAAAACACTCAGCAGGTGGGTGTAAACAAAAGTAACAACAAACCATTTGGGAATARGTCGATCAGAATAACGATAATTTTACCTTATAAAGCCTCTGGTCCTCAGGTGGCCTCTTTAAAATCCCTTCAACTATGCGCTTCAGTTCGTAGACAGTGGTGGACTCTTTGGCATCTGTGAAGATGGTCGTCTTGTGACGTCGAATCATTAAAAACACATCCTGAGGCAAGATCAGGAAAAAAGTAGAAATTAAACACTGATGTCTATGATGGTGACGTCGCAAAATTAACTTTTCTAGTTGAGCTTCCTCAAGCTGTACACAACTTCCTAATCTTTAGGACACTCAGGATAAGATTTATCAGATTTTTGTTTTTCAAACATGACACGCCAGGYTAATTCCAGTTAAAAGTGTCTCTTTAATCTGGTTTTCCTTGGGAAAATCTCCAGAGAGTGATTTATTCACGACACAGGATTAATGTGAACTTGTACCAGGCACTAATGCGTGATTCAACTTCTCATATTTATTAATACTGAAACCACTGAGCCGAAATTCCTGGCAGTGACAGCACGTCCTCGGGTTGTTTAAAGAGACACATCTGTTCAACGTCATGACGAAATACTTAAGCTGTAGCAGCGTTAGCCTAGCTAGCTAAACGTTAATCTTATTTAACATCACGAACAGGTTGAACTCACAAACTAACATGTATCACACAGCAAGTATTTACACCACGATCTGGAGACATCCCAAAGTTAAAACATCACTCTGTTTTCGTATTTTACGGTACGTTGTGTTAGCCATGCTAAGTAGTTAGCATCGTTGTGGTAAACTAGTTGTTAAATTGAAAGCAAAGTGTGTCGGTTTATCTGTCACCGTGTTAAACTCTCTGCCTTTTCCTTAGACTTGTTTTGGGTTTAATTTGTTATAAATTAGAGCACTTTAAACAGCAAAACGTCAAGCTAACGTGAGCTAGCATCTGCTAACATAAGCTAGCTCACGTTAGCACGGGTTAGCCGAACAAAGACATCTGCTTCAGCCGATGTCTTAACGCCGAACCCGGTTCTGGTACTGGTCGCGGACAGTTTAACGCTGTGAGAGGACTCTGGTTACTGTTGAGGAACAGTTAAGTTGACCTAAAAAAATAATAAAAGAGTACACTGAGCTGTGTCTGTTTACCCGACTCACCATTTCTTGCGGTTGGATGCAGTGGGGGAGAAAAAAAAAACTGCAAAACGACAAATGTGACGTCACAGCTGCCTGAAAAAGACATTCAGTTCCACAAACAACCAGCAGATGGCGTCAAACATCAGATACACCTTGGAAGTTTTATTTGAAATAATGTGGTTTAAAAAGTTGAATGAATGTGTGTCATATATTAATGTATTCTGAAAATCATCTGCGTAATAATACACAATATTGCAAATCAGGTATGTACACTGTAACTACCTATTTTATTCGTTATCATCTGTATAAAATCTATTGACCTATGATCTATGACCAAAAATAGAACAAATACTAATGATTAATGATGATATACAAAACATTGAAATGAAAATATTTTATTCTACAAGAGTGGAAATAAATACAGTACAAAAACACAAGAACGTATGTTCAGCAGGAATTCATCAGACTCCTCAGGCGAGTATAGGATGCAGCAGATTGCAGCTTTTTCTGTAGTTTCTGTAGCTTCAGAGGATAAAAACACTCCTCTGTGGTTCAAATGTCCTGAAAATAACAGGATATTACTATAAAGTGACCCAAAGTAGCCAAAACAAAACATTTCAATGCTACTTAATTTTTTTAAATAAAAAAATCCAAACTCACAGAATTAATGTTTATTTAATCACTAAAGTGCATTTCTGGATCTTGGCGTTATCAGACTGAGAGACAGAAAAAACAAAAAGGATCATTATAAACAAAGTGAAGTCAGTTTAAACTGAAATGATTTAAACTTACATCCAGCCCTCTGGGGGAGTGAACGGGCTCTCGGCCCGAACAGCACAGCAGTGAAAAGGGCCTCTGCTTCGTCGCTGAGTGCTCCTTGAAGCACAGACTGAAAACTTTAGCAGGCAGGTAAACATCCCAGTCGGCTTCATGCTGCTCTGATAGTTCGCTTACCATCCTGTGTGTGAAGCCAGAAGAATAAATATATAATATTATTAATAATACGTTTTATTTACAGAACACCGACCTGTCTATCATCTGTGGTGTAACCCAATCCACAGTTCCCGTCTGCGGATGATGAACCACCAGGTCGACCTGAACCTTCAGCCGCTCCTTCAGCTCTCGGTTGATCTAAAAGAGACGGTCGCTGTAAATTAGCTGAAGGAGGTTAAATTCTGCGCAGGGCTCAGCAGAACTCACCCTGTGGACTACGTCGTGAGGCAGCCTGGACAGGATTCGGACCGGGTAGCCCAGGTGGGCGACGATGTCAGCGACGCTCTTCGCCACGTGAGACGGGAGGCACGACGGCATGGCTGCGGCCTCCACCCATCGGGAGAAGTAGTCCGTCACCGTTAGGATGTACCTGTGTCCAGTGGGCGTTCGTGTCAGCGGACCCCTGACGTCCAGCCCCAGCCACTGCCACGGCTCGTTCACCTGCGATCATCAYGTCCCCTTTACCTCCGACAAGCTTCACCTGACCGTTAAACCGCGAGAAACTCACCTCTATGATCTGATCACAGTCTTTACTGTTCGTCTGGAAAACATGAGGAGCGAGTTTTTATTAAAACACTTCTCACAGGTTGTACACGTTATTTTATTTTAAATATTTAGGAAAACTCACACTGGAATTATCATCTGGAGCCCAGTGAATGTTCTGACAATGACAGAAAAATAGACAATTTGGAAATAAATTAAAATAAAATAAAATAAATTGGAATATCTGGAGAGAAAATAATGTAATAAATTTAGCAACAGGGTATTTAAAAGCAGCTAAAGGCTGGGTAGAATCTAAAAGTAGCTAAATGCAACCAAAAAAACTAAATAAAGAGCAAAAGGTTTACTTGAGGAAGAAAAAAGCTGCAGAAAGCTGTAAAAGTTAAGCTAAAAAGTAGATAAAGGTTAGATTAAAAAAGCTATTTCCTACCTAAAAGCAGAAAAGGAAAAACAAAATGCTACCTGAAAGCAGTCAAATGTAACATAAAAGTAGCTAAAGGTTAGCTAAAAGCCACAAAATGCTAAAGGAGTAAAATGTAACAAAAGTAGCTAAAGGTTAGCTAAAAGAAGCAAAATGCTACCTAAAAGCAGTCAAATGCAACATAAAAGTAGCTAAAGGTTAGCTAAAAGAAACAAAATGCTAAAGGAGTAAAATGTAACATAAAGTAGCTAAAGGTTAGCTAAAAGAAGCAAAATGCTACCTAAAAGCAGTAAAATGTAACATAAAAGTAGCTAAAGGTTAGCTAAAAGAAGCAAAATGCTACCTAAAAGCAGTAAAATGTAACATTAAAGTAGCTAAAGTTTAGCTAAAAGAAACAAAATGCTACCTAAAAGCAGTCAAATGTAACATAAACGTAGTTGTTTACCAGATGAATGAGAGAATGAACTGTGTGGTGTTCCTCCACCCACCTGCTGGGCGCAGTAGTCTCCATGAAAAAAGTGTGGAAACGAGTCAATCTTCATCAGCCGCTCATCAACTACGATTCTCCATTTCTCTGGTTTCTTCTGCTCGTCTCTGATCAGAAACAGAACGTTTCCTCAGAAACAAACCAGTAAATAACAGTTCTTTAAATCATGTTCACTTCTGAGTTTTCTAAAAATGAAGAAACAAAGTACCCKGATGCTTCGTCCTCCAGAAGTTCTTCCTCCGTCTGGTTCAGATCTTTGCTCTGGGCTGTGACCGGAGGGCTTGTTGCAGTTTGAGACGACTCCTCTGAGGTTTCAGCATCAGAAGTCTGATCAAAGACAAACACACGGGTGCAGTGTACTGCCTGGAACATTAAACAGAAATATCTACAGAACAAAACAGGAAACAACTGAATCACATTTTTAGCTCCCACCTTTTGCCTCTTACGTCTGGTGTTGGTAGAAGCCTGTTAAAAGTAAGATTAACATTTTCATTCAGTTAAAAACAAATTAAAGAGTTTAAATCTGGATGGTTCGGTAATTTACAAACCGTTTTTCTCTGCGTGTTGTCAGACGACGAGAAGATGGTGGGAACGGCATCTTCTCGGAGCGTGGCAGACTTTCCCGATCTGTCGATGAACCATTCCTCGAAATGATCCATGCAGAGAACAGAGAAGCGGGACGGAGTCCAGTCCTTCCACTTCATGTTGGCCAGCCATTTCTTCAGTTTTCTGGGATTATACAGAGGGAACCTGTAGGAACCAAACTCTGTTAAACCCCTCAGAGACTTTTGTTTCACCAGAAACACAAGCTTTACATTATTTAACAACAAATAGGCAGACTTGTAAAGTAACTAAGTACAAATACTTTATACTTAAAGTAGAATTTTGGGTGTCTGTACTTTACTTGAATAATTATTTTTCAGCCTACTTTTTATTTCTACTCCTTACATTTAAAAAAAGGCAAGAAGTAGAAAGTTGTTACTTTTATTTTATTTTTGCTTGTTTTCATTCTGGCTTGTTATTGTAAAAAACAAATACTATCCACAGATAGAGTGAATTTAACTGATTTATAGCCACTCCTCATTTCTTTGTCATTTGGTTTGAGGAAGAGTTTGTTATTTAGTTAGTTCGTTAGTTCGTTCGTTAGTTTTGAGCAATTTTAAAAATAATTCCTGTGTTTTCTGAAAACATTGTGCAGCTTTAAAGAAAAAAATTAAAGATGGCTATGTTTTTAAAAGAGCAAAAATCCTATTTCTGCCTGTTTTGTCTTTTTATATACCTTGGAAGCATTTAAGTCTTAAGTCACTTTTTATTTTATTGTTTATATAATGCTTCCAAGATATATAAAAAAGACAAATGTATTATATGATGTAATTTACAGCAGTGATAAATTCACATTTATTCGACATTTTCCACATCCCAACTCTGATGGAAAGAATTTACTAAACAAGACCCTACTCTGCCTGCTAACTGTCTGTTTGTTGTTTAAGAGTAACTTTAAATAACATTTAAACTAAATACTTACTTGAAGAATTTAACATCTGGATCGCTTGAGTTCTCACAATTATAGGCACACTTATATCTCCCCATTTATTAGGTTTTCGTTGTTTTGAGCCTGCGGAAAAACAAAACAAAAAATCTTTTGCTATCGCTAACAGCGTTTACACGGAACAAGGTCTACATCCGGGTTCGGCTTTTCGCAATAAAAGCGACATGGTTACTTTTGACGATAAAATTGTTAAAAAAATATTTCATTCTGGTGCATTCGCATATTATTTTTAATTAAATATTATATACAGACAAATTACTAACATTGTTATAACACRGACTTAATATAACGTCCAACTTTTTTTATGAAAGATTTTATTTTGAAAAGGTTCACCAGACTGATGTTTTGTTTCCTACTCCTGTTTCTTGTTCCCTGAAAAACTTTTTCTGAGAACATCTTGTATTAATTATTACAATTGCGTATCGAAATACAATTTATTTATTCATAAATAACAGACAAAACAAAATAACATTAACTACAGAAACAATAACTGAGCAATACGAAATGACTTTTGTACAAATGTATTTTATTTTCCTGAATCTGGACCAGAAGTGTGTAAATTTGATCAAACATACAATAGTTTTGGTAACAAAAAAAAAAAGCTGCTCAGCTCCTTTTAGTTTTCCACTCCACCCTCCACTCGTCGCAGTCCAGTAGAGTTCGTTTTACGTCCCAACCTGCAGCTTCAACACCTAAAGATTACAAGTCAATAAAAACACACCTCTGATGATAAACACTTAAAGACAGATTTCATTCAAATGAAGGTTAAAACTGTTCTGTGTGAGATCACCTTTCAGGAATGAATTGAACTTTGCGTCCATCAGCTTGTGACTCTCCAGAACAATTTCCCAAAACCCTTTAATTCAGAAAAATAAAAATAAAAATAGAGAAATGTGACAACTAAAGAAACTGTTAAAGGGTAGCGAAAGTGGGATGAAATATTTTAAAAGAACTGAAGAGGTTTTAATGTATTTGTGTGATGACAATATTTGTAAATAAACATAAATATTCCGAAAAGTAGAAAAGTTTAAAAAAAACTAAAGTTGCAGCAACGACCTTCTGAGTGAGCCGGACATGATTAAATGCTGACTCAGCGTTCACGTGATGAAACACAGTAAAATCTCACTTTGCTGCCTCCGTTCTGTGCTTGCAGTTGTTTTGGATATTTGGCAGCTGAGCCACACGGCCTGACACGCCGCTCGTAGTTTATCACAAACTGAAGCTTCTGGTCCCAAACAAACACAAACACAACCTGCCAGGAAGACAACAAGGTGTTGTTGTTGTTGTTTTTAAAGTAACAAATGTTAAATCTGTCCAAATCAAACATCTGTTTTAAGGAGGAAGTTAGGATACCGTTTGTGATTCCTAACAGGAAGGGCATGCTGTTCTCCTCCAAAGCCAAATTCAGTTCTTCAGGGCTGCAAAATAAGCAACAAACTTAAAACTGAGCTTTAAATGGTTAAAATAAATAAATAACGTATATAATTACCTCTGAGCCACATCCTGCAGCTTCACTCCTAGTTTAACTGGCGAGGTTTTCCTAAACTCTGAAAAACAGTTTGTTAGATCCATCGAAGAAAAAAAAAACGAAGTTAAAACTCTAAATTATCGGCGTCGTTGCGTACGCAGGAAAACCGGTTCTCTGCGATTAGCCTGGAGCGGGCTCAGGACGCGCTCGTCCTTCAGGTACTGCTGCAGSACGATGGACAGACGGGCTTCGTTAAAGGTCTCCATGACGACCGAGCGCACAGCTTTGTAGTTGGCAAACAGATGGAGGACGGTGAAGAGAAGGAAGAGGCRGAGCGTCAGTCTGAGGGCCAGAAACAGGGCGAATTAAAACACAGCTTTTTTATGTTCGAACCGAATCTGTTGTTTTCAATTTTTTTTAAGTTTATTCATTTTGTTTCATTTAAAAACAAAATAAATCTTTTAATACAAAAAATACAAATCAAAACTAAAATGAAAGGCATTAAAAAGAAGAAAAAATTCTTTTATCTGCCCCATTTTAAGAAAAGAAGATAAAATTAACAATACTAATAGTCTTTAAGTAACAAAAAACAACAACAATAATCCTACTAGAACAAAATATTTTATGAGTACACATTATTCTTTTTCATATTTCTTCAACAAACCACTTTTAATCATTCTCTTAAACAGAGTTGTAAAGTAACTAAGTACAAATACTTTGTTCCTGTTCTTAAGTAGATTTTTTTGGGTATCTGTACTTTACTTGAGTAATTATTTTTCAGCGTACTTTTTACTTTTACTCATTACATTTTTACACAATTATCTGTACTTTTTACTCACTACATTTTTAAAAAGGTAAGAAGTAGAAAGTTGTTACTCCTATTTTATTCCGAGTTGTTATTACTTTAAAAAAATACTATCCTGATAAATTGTGTCTCCTATAGAGTGAATTTAATTATGGTTGGATGAGAAGTATAAATATTTACCATTCGGACACCATATTACTTTGTACACAACCATCACAGCTGCACGCTGTTAGAAAATATATTTTTGGAGAAGTCACCTCCTAATAAATGTCATTTTGGAAAATCTAACTGCTCACTTTTACTCAGTACTTTTACTTTTAATACTTAAGTAGATTTTGTGTCAGAAAATTTACTTTTGATACTTAAGTACAAAAAATATCAGATACTTTAAGACTTTTACTCAAGTAATTTTTTTAGAGAAGACTTTAACTTTTAACAAAGTATTTTTATGATAAGATACTTTACTCAAGTATCACTTTGAGGTACTTTATGCAACGCTGCTCTTAAACATAAACAGTGATCTGACATTTTTAACAGCACTTTCCATAATCTTATTCCCTGAATTGACTTACATCTTTCCTTCAAACTGGTTCAAAATTTAAACATCTCAATCCCCTTAAGATTAAAACTGCTCTCTCTTTTAACAAAATTTAACTGGATATTTAGAGGTAATATGTTTGTATGAGCCTTATACATAACCTGTAAAATATTATAATCAACCAACTCATGAAATTTCAATCATTTCAACTGACAAAACAATATATTTGATGGGTGACAGTAATGTTTTCTGGTTATAATTCTTACAGCTCTTTACTGTAAAATGAAAATGGGATTTGTGATTATTTCACCTGCTTTCCCCCAGATTTCAATACAATTAAGTGGAACAATTAAMGCATTATACAACATATACAGAGATTAAATTAACAGACTCTACCCTGGATTATCTGTGACCAGAGGAATGAGCAGCAAGCTGACCAGCAGTCCYGCCAAATTCACTAAAGTCTCCTGTGGAAAATAAAACAAGCGTCAGAAAGTAATTTAATTCTTTATTTTTTACAGCGTGCAGGTGACACGTGTACCTGACTCCCGTCTTTGGCAGAGATGTCGGCCATGTTGTCCCTGCGAGCCTGATGAACGGTCAGCGCAGCTCTGGTGGCGCCGCCGGCCACYCCCACCACAGACTGCAGGAGACAAACAGATACAGGAAGTGAACTCCTCACACCCAAACACAGCGGATTTGACAGCGCACTGTTATTCTGACCTTGAATATCCCGGCAGTGCACACGATCAGAGTGAAGTAAGCAGGGAAGTGGGGAGCCAGGATCTCCATGAACATCGCGATGTCGTTCAGAACGTCGGCGAAAAGTCTGCGGAGGAATAAAATAAATGAATGAAAACAAAAAGAGTGCGAGAGTGTTTGGATCCTGGACGCTTACCTCCACTTTTTGGCCTCGGAGTCCAGCTTACTCCTGGAACACAAAGATCATCATCTTTAAATGTTTTTTATGTCCAGAAAATGAACTCAGGTTCCAAAAACCTTTGTTGGGATCAGACGTACCCTTTCTGCCAGGCAAAGAGAATTCTTCCCAACATGCTGGTTCCATCTGCAAACATTTAATATTTAAACAGCTTAAACACTAATAAGAATAATAAACAATCAATTTAAACATGCTGGGGCTTTATTGAAGTTTTTAACCTCTTAACAGCCAGGTGACGGTGGCTGCAGCTACAGTGGCCTCCTGGTTTCCAACACCAACACCTTTTAAAGAAGCCTGAGTGGCCAGAGTCCAGGACAGGGAGCTGCAGAAGGCCTGAAACAAACCAAATATCAGCTTCCACCTGATCAGAGTCATCTCAGGTGGGGGTTCTGTCTGGTACCTGCAGCGTGTCCCAGAACTGGTACTGCAGGTAGTCATCGCTGACGCTCTCCGGGTAGCCTTGAGGCAGAAAAACACTCTGAAATAAATAAATTTAAAACCTCTCAGTGCGTGAAACAAGTCAGCTCAGAAACAGAGACCGAACAAACCCTTACTTTGAAAAACCCAACTACAGAGTTGCCTCTTGATCCTCCTTCACCTCCATCCCTCCTTCTCTCCATCCCTCCATCCTTCACTAAATACCTCCAGGACTGCCCGCTGCCGTATCTCTCTGTAGCCAAAACCAAACCCGCGTCTTTCACCATCCTTTCGGCTTTAATTATGAAAAAACTTCAACAAACCTTACMTTGCTACAGTCTGTAATTCACTTAAAATCATTTCAGGGAACTACTGGGTGATTTGGTTCGCAGCCGACGTGTCATTCGCTCCTGTTTTGTTTATCTTTTAGACATTTCCGGGTTTACTTCCGCCCTCGTTGTTTCTCGAGTTCTCATTGGTGGATGCGGGGTTGTAGGCGGGTCTTTACAAAGCATTGCGGAAGTTTTCATTTTAATCAAAACCTTGAATTTCAGGTGCCACGAAAATCGTAAAAGTAAAAATATAACTGAATGATAAACGCTGATTTTATTTATTTTCTAGGATTAAAATTCATTTCTAATACTTTATTATTTACTTTAATTAATTACCCTGTAGTATGCACCTCAAGTACCATGTGAATATCTCTTAAGTAAGTTGTATGTACTCCCATAGGTAATCTACAAGTACTTTGTCGTTACTCTGTAATGTACCTTGGAAGTAACCTTAGATTACCTCAAAAATACCCTGTATAAACTCCTGTAAGGACCCTACAAGTAGCCTTCTTTGTCATTCGCTACCCTGTGTCCTGTGTGTACCCTCATAGGTACCCAGTATGTACCCTAGTACAGTGGTTCCCAAACTTRTTGTCTTCTGACCCACAAAATATTCATGGCAAAAACTTGTGACCCCAAATATTACTGGTCTGAGTACATGAACTTCGTTAATAACCCTAAAAACACAGGCTTTTTGACAATCTAAACAGCTTACACACAAATATAAATACTTATTTATACTTATTTTGTGTTTTTGTAATAATTATAGGGAAAATACTGTATTACATCAGCAATTATTTTATTACCCTTTAAATTGATTTCTAGAGATTATCCAAGGTGCTTCATGACCCATAATTGGGTCCCAAGCCCAACTTTGGGAACCAAAGTGCAGTGGTTCCCAAACGTTTCAGCTTTTGACCCACAAAATAACAGCAGCAGAGACCTGTGCCCCCAACTGTTTTTGGAGGATAAACATTTGTATCAGGTAAACTAAACATGGGCACAGTAACAATATTTATTATACTACATTTATACATCTTAAACATACTAACCTCACCTTTGTAACAACTAAGGCAAAAATATAATTAATTCAGAAAATCTTTTCAGGACCCAATCTTGATGTTTCGGGACCCCACTTTGGGTCCCGACCCCAACTTTGGGAAACACTGCCCTAGTAAGTACCCTGCAATTACCCTGCATCTTTGTAATATTTTTGAACATACGTACTCAGTACACCTGCAAGCATAATAAGTACCTTATCTTGTTACCTTGTCCTGTCTTTTCCCTGTAAGTACCCAATAGGTACTATTAGGTACCTTATAAGTACAGCACTTTATCTCAGTAACAACCATGTTTCTTAGCTCTTCTTTACGCAGAGATGAACCTGCTTGACACTAACCGCCATCAAATAAAAAATCTGGTCKATCCAGCTACAAGATAAAACATCTGGTCCCTCCCAGCTTGTGTAGGTGGTGACGTGGAAAAAAACGTAATAATCTGGTTTCTGAGTCAGAGGAAGTCTCTTATCTCTGGGTCAGAGAGCAGAATAACACACTCTGGACAAGTTACRGTGAAATTAAGTTGCTGCGATCGAGTCGTGATGAGCAAAAATACAAATGTATGCTTGGAAAATGTAAAACTTCGGTGTTTTCTGCAGGTTTAAACTGATCCTAACTTTTCATTTAGGACCTGTAGACTGCAGCCCAAGGCGGTACGAGTGCAGACACACCTTTCAACCTCAGGAATGTGGACTGAAACAAATAAAATCAAATAAAAAGAGGGTTTGAACACCTCAGAGTCTTCACTGCAAACACAAGACTTTAGAGACAAAGTGGAGCGAGTAAAAAAAAACCTGACAAGTGCAGCAGGGAGGACAAAAGAAGGGAAAAAAAGAAGAAGCAGAGTGGGCGTGGACGTCCCACAGAGTTTCAGTCCAGCTTCTCCCAGTCGTTCTGTCATTTTATGACGGGGAAGTCTGAGAGGAGTCGTTTCACTTCAACYGTTCCTGCTCCTGGATGTTCAGGAGCGAGCTCAGACTGGATCAGAGCCWACACTGAATCTAATCAGGTTTGTGTCTTTAATAAAACCTCTCCATTTGATTTGATTTAAAAGCGATATTAAAAACGAGCTGACATTAATGGTTTTAACTCGGCAGGGTTGGGTCATCAGATTGCTTCATGGGTCGCCAAATGTTTCTTAATATAAAGAATCCTCTTTTGTTTGAAACTAAAAGTTGTGTTTCTTAAGGAGAGCACTTTGTTCCTTTATTTTTAGGAGCTGATCTGTTTATAGATGATAAATTAAAAAAAAAACAGCGATTTGATGTAAACGGGCTGAAATGTATACTTTTACAAATTGAATCTGAAATAAGTTTCTTGTTTAAGCTTTAAGCTTAAACAACTTTTTACTTGAAGTGAGCAGATTTCATCACCTCCAARGAGGCAAAAATTTCAGACACAACATTTAAACAAAAACACCCAAACCTAAGTGAGTTCTTAAAATAACCCAGCAGTTTTCAGTGTGTGGAAACACCCCCTTCATTAATGAATAAACTCACATTTCACCTCAGTTATGATTTACAGGATTGTTTAATATTACACACCAAATATGTTGCAAGAGTTGTTACTTTCTTTGTTAAAAAAAAACAGAACCCTTGGATGTTATTAGATCAAAACAGAGATTCGATCAGTCATGTTCAACAGCAGCAAGTTTTTCAACTTTTTTTTAAGCTGAAAGGGGAAGAATCTTGCAACACATCCACAGGTTTTTGTTTCTAAATTCAAAAACTCACAAGATTGTCACGCTTTTAGTCTGTGACACTTGGAGGAACAGGTTTGAACCTGCAGGCAGACATTTAGTTTCAGCTTTTACTTTACAGTAGATTACATAAAGGAGTTTGTAACAACTATATACACAACAAAAAATGCAATCAAAATAAAATGGAAGGCAGCAGAAGAAGAATAAATCTTATATCTGCCCTTTTTTATACCTAAAATATATTCAAAATAAAAGTAAATTGCAACAAAAATCAAAACAACTGAAAACACAAAAACTAAAAACAAAGCTAAATTTAAAACACCAACTCAAAACAACAATTTGCATCAATTCACTTATGCTTCTCCGTATTTCTTCAGAATACTCATTTTTATCATTCTCTTCAATAAATACAAAGATCTGGCATTTTTAAACTCATCTTCCAGACCGTTCCATAATCTCACTCCCTGGATTAAAGTGGATCGCTCCTTCAGACTCGTACCCAGGGTTTCACAAACATTTCAATTCCCTTAAGATAATAACAGCTCTGTCTTTTAACAAAATTTACTTGAATGTTGGAAGGTAACACACCTGTATGAGCTCTGTACATTAACAGTAAAATATCATAATCGACCAAATCATAGAATTTTAATAATTTCAATTCATAAAACAATGTATTCGATGGATGGCTGTAATTTTTTCTAGTAATAACTCTCAGTGCTCTTTTCTGTCAAATAAAAATAGGATTTGTGATAGTTTTACAAGCTTTACCCCAGACTTCAATACAGTAAATTAAATGTGGAACAATAATAGTGTTATACAACATAAACAGTGCTTTATCACTAAACAGTTCTCTTACTTTATACAGGACTCCAATAGATTTGGCTGTTTTTGTTCTTTATTTATATGATTTTTCCATGTCAGTTTTTCATCAATGACACCTAGAAACTTCACTTCACTGACTCTACATTTCACAACATCATCAATTTTAAATGAAACATCTACAGTTCCTCTTAATGTTACTAAAAATCAAATAATTTGTTTTGTCCAAGTTTAATGATAATTTATTTAGTTGAAACCATTACAACTTTGTATTTTCACAAATTCTGTTTGTACCATCTCCAACATTTGTTCAATATCTTTACCAGAACAAAATAATGTATCATCAGCAAATAGGAAACACTCCAAAAGACCCGACACATTTACCAAATCATCCACATACAAAATAAATAACTTGGGTCCGAGAATGGAACCCTGCGGCACGCCACGAGATGTTACAAAACTCAGATCTTACATTATTTATTTGGACGAATTGTTTTCTGTCTTCCAAATAACTAGATGCCCACTGTAATGCAGGTCCTCTAATACCATATTTATTTAGCTTTTCAAAAAGAATACTGTGGTTAATAGTATCTAATGCTTTTTTAAAATCAACAAAAATACTGATACAGTACTGTTTTTGGTCAACAGCAGTTGTTAAATGTTCTATTAATTCAATGAGAGCCATCGACGTGGAATTTTTTGGTCTGAACCCAAACTGTTTGCTACTTAATATGTTCTGCTCATCAATGAGTTRGTCCAATCTGATCACAAATAATTTCTCTAAAATCTTTYAAAATTGTGGTAACAGGGATATTGGTCTGTAGTTGTTAAATTAATTTCACCGGCCTCTGAATAGGTGAAACATATGGAGCACCAAAACTGACATAATTAAAAATAAAAGCTGAAATATATACAATTCCCAATAAATAAATAAATAAATACACTTAAAATACGCCAGTTAATTATAAATTATACAAATTTTATATTTTATCACATAAATTTTACTGTTTTTAAAAATATATTTTTCTTTACTCGTAGATACATTCATGCCATTTATTTTATTGTTTTACCCCCACATATTTTTATGTTCATGTGTTGCCATTTCATTTTTCTGTCTACTGTTTTTACTTTACTTTAAAAATGAGACAGAAACACATAAGTTAAAGTAAAAACAGGAGACAGAAAAACACGTCTTTATAGTTTTGTTTTTCTTTTGGTGTTTTATCTGTTCTCGTAACCTTTTATTTTGGTTTTATCTCCTTGTAATTGTTCAGCACTTTGTTCAAAAGTGCTCAAAATAAAGTGATTATTAATAAAAAGACTTGTGAAAATACTTAAAAATTAATAAAAACACCTAAGATACACAAATGTGTCTAAAAGTCAAAGAAAAAACAAAAAAATATATATTTAAAACTTAAGCCCTAAAATATATTTGAAGATCAATTAAATGATAAAACATGAGGTAAAATTCTCCTTTTTTATATTAGTTGGTGCATTTTAAGTGTATTTTTTTCAACTTATATATTTCTGCTTTTATTTTTAATTATGTCAGCTTTGGTCCTCCATAGACGCACATATTCTGAGTGATATTTTGTTTGTTTTTCACCACAACTGAGTCAAAATATTTAACCAAACTCTGCCTTCCTGTGCAGATATGTCAAACTCCTTACAGATGCACGAGAAAGAAGCCCGCCCGCTGAACACAACACCGGGGTCTGCGGATGAAGACGACACAATTAAAGACCCCGAGGCAAACTTCCGCAACAACAAGTACCACAGGAGGCTGGCCATGTGCAGCATCATCTGTGGCGTCTCCTGCATCGGCATCCAGGCACTGACATACTCGTTCAAGGTACCGGATTTTATCTCTACTGATGATTCTGAGAACTAAACCCAGATCCAATGCTGGATATTTGTTTAATTTAAAAAAAGAGCAGGTTTGGCTTGTTTTTTTCTTTTAAGTCTTTTATTAGAAAACACTGCTGTTATATGACGGGCGTGGTTTAAAAAAAGTTTAAATAGGTTTCAGATGTCATTACTTGTTGAAACCAGTAGAGTTTTGTTTCTCCCGCTGCCCATCGTAAAATAAAAGATCAAATTTTTCTGAATCCTAAATAAATGTAATCTTTCCTCCTCTGTCAGGCTGAACACACAGGAAACAGAGCGACAGCTGAGAAGGCCAGAAAATACAGCATCATCTCCATCGTGGTGTTTTTCTCCATCATCGTCTCCATCCCCATACTGATGGCACTTTTCTCATATCTCGTCACGTTAGGAGACTGAAACATTCAAAACTGGACCAAAGCGCTCTTTATGAAGCTGGACGTTACATAAAAAGACTTGCTGGTTTTACACAAAACACCACGTTGAACCAACTCTTCACAACCTTTATGTGCATTTTATTTAACTTGAAACGACCAGAAAACACAATCCAGCATTGCCTATAATTTAAAATACTGTATGACACAAACCAGGTGCATTTGAAAGGCTTTCTGCTTCTCTTTCAGTTTTCTATAAGCTACAACCACAAAAAACAAATTACAAGGAGACTGAAAACAAAACCTAAACTCAGAGAAAACATAAAAAAAGGCAGAAACCTTTTCAAACGCACTCACACATTAGATCAGAACAGTCGTGCGCCAGTTTTTGATGTATTTTTGTCACCAGTGGTGAAATACTCATTGTTACTGTACATATACTACAAATAATACAAAGTACACGCCGAGTACCGAGCGTCCACTGGAAGCAGAAAGGCGTAGTGAACATGGCAGTGCTTTAAAAAGGACATCATGGGATCTCTGCCAACGGTGAACTGGCATTATTGCATTGTTACAAATGTTAAATGTCTACATAAGTTGTACTTTTTTTACTGAGTTATTTTATAATAAAACTGTGGATTTTTTGTGCGCTGAGTTGTTACAGTTAAGGCAACATCGTTTACTACAAAACACATTTTATACGTAAAAAAACAGACAACTGGGACAAAAAATATATAAAATTGAACTACCAAATAAAATAAAAGCACAACAGCGATGGACGCGGTCTGATTAACTCTGGAGTGCCATGATGGTTAGTTTATAAAAACAAAACAAAAACAAAAACTCCACAGGTTTACAACAAATAAGTAAAAAAAAGCAGCCTGAGCAGAGGAAAGGGCTTTTATCAGTCCGAAGCTTGTTTTAAACTCTTTGATTGTACTGAACCTTCATTGTTTCTCATGTTAGAACATTTTATTTCTATTTAATTCTTATAAAATAGCTGCCTTTGTTATAAACTTAACGCTGCAGGGTGCTCGGCTGACTCTGCAGAGTGGAGACAAAACTTTAACCATGTTAAAATACGAAAAATAAGTTCGCTTTAATACAGTTTCAAAGTATCTAAGATGGACAGCAGAAGTTTGTAAATATAAATAAAAACCCGACTTGCTGTAAATATATACTTAACTTTACAAAATGTAAACAAACAAGTTGGACTTAATTGTTTTTTAACTTGTCGGCTACAAACTAGAAAATAAAACCTGAATTCTTTACTTGGAGCTTCTTTAGACACGGCCTGAGGAGCCGCAACAATCGTTTTCACAAATCTCTTTATTTGTTTATAAATCTGCCTCCCTCTGATCGTGGATCAGCCACAAACTCAACTCGTCCAGTTTGGAGCAGAGCAGCGAGTCCACGTCCTGAACGCCGAGGGACGCTTCGTGTTTAGGGAAGCCTCCTCGTCTCGTCCTGGAGGAGGACGACGACGAGGAGGAAGAGGAGGAGGAGGAGGAGGAGGAAAGTCCCGCTTTCACGGCTCCGATCAGAGGCTTCTTCGGTTTCCTGACCGTGCCGACCTCCAGGAACTCCAGGAAGCGTTTGACACGTCTCGGACCGCACCAGGACTCGGAGCCGTTCTTGCGACTGAGAGGCACCTCGAATATCGTTTCCAGACGGCTGAAAAAACAAACAAAAATACAAATTATAATCAGATCAAAGAGAGACAAACAAACATGTTGCCTCTGCTGCCACCGTCTGGTTGTATTTAACTTTATCTCTCAGCAGAACAAACACAAGTCATGTGTTCATTACTCACACTGAGACTCAAAACAAAACTAAAAGCAGGCAATTAAATCTGGCAAAAAATAAATAAAATAAAGCTAAAAAACAAAAACCCCAAACGACACTTCCTAAAGAAAACACATTTAATGATTTATTTTTGAAACGAACAGCTAAGCTAAAAGAACTGGGTGTAAAAAAGAGGCTGATTTTTTCTAGAAGTAAAAACAATCAGAGGTTCACCTGCAGCTAAAAATACTGAAACAAGTTCAACAGAAAAAAATCCTCTACCAGGCTCTAGACTGACTTTAGCACTGGTTGCACTGGTGTGCTCACCTTTTTTTGATGAACCAGCACAAAAGTTAGGTCCATTAAGGCAATAATAACTCACAAATAATTAATAAATTTAGTAAACATGAAGTTCTATATTTGAACCAGACATAAAACTTACTGAAAAGTATTTAAAGTGATTCTACGACCTGAGATTTTAACTTAAACATCTCCAGATAAACAAAATGAAAGACATTGTGCTAAACATCTCAAACTGAATATTTCATGGTTAATATCTTTTAGACTACACCTGCCCCTCAGYTGACCAACTCCTGTAGTTTGGCCTTCTGGATCTTTGGCCTTGGCTAAACCAGAATAATGAACACAGAACGGTGATTGACAGCTTTGTAAAATAAAAACGACAGAACAAGAACAAGTCTGCACCTGAATGTTATGTATTTCTCTTAAATAACTAATGTATGTAGTTATTAGGGCTGCGCTGTATCTGCGGTAGACGGTAGAAACGGTATGAAGTTGGCCTACGGTAGAAATTGACCCTCTACCYTCCTGTCGTCAGTTACATCATCGCACCTGTGTCACCAGGGCTGAGAGTGCAGAGACATTCCTCCTCTCGCTGTAGAAAAGTTACGTCATGTCACGGGATCATTTCCTCCCTCTCGCTGCARGTCACGCAGAGCGAAGCTTTAACAACTGTAGTTTTTCACACCCAATTGTTGGAGAAAAACAATGTTTTT